ACTGTTGGGTATTAAACCATGGATGTACAGGGATGCTCATTTCCTAGCTTGGGCTACCTGTGAAAATCAACTTTATAACTATATTTATACTCGGGTCAACTGGTGGGGCTGATTTTGGGGGGGAGTTACTCCACTATTTGGCCTATATGGGGACATGCCACTGGACAAAATAAAAATAAAATAAATGCCACTGGGCAGGGTATGGTTTTTTTGGTCATGTTGTCCTGAACAAGGTATACAGTTTTACTTGCCTCTGTCCTAAAGAGAGTCAGAACTTGTCCTAAATTAATTGTCCTAAATAGGATGTGGTTACATGAGCTGTGCAAGTTAAGCCTGCAAGCAGGCTCACCTTTGAGACCCACACACGAGCGATGAAGAGCGAGTCAGCTAGCGAAGCTTAATTGATGGCCTTTTGTATAGTTCAAGTATAGAGATGCAATAACTGGATTTAAAAGATGCATCAAACATGATTTCTCTGATTGGAATGGCTTATAAAACAGTAAATTCCTGCAAAAGAAGAAAGTGTATTTTGTCTCTTGTCCTAAAGAGGGTCTTAAATAGAGGGTGTTGTCCTACACAGGTAGGGTTTTTAGAGTATTTTTTCCTTAAACAGGGTCAGGATTTCAACCCAGACAAGAGTTAAGTACGCTCCTTCCCCTAGGCCAGGGACTAATTAGGCCTCTAGCAATAATAGACTATGCTAATTTGCTGAGAAATTTGTCAGATATCTGTCGTACACCGCCTGACATATGACTGAGAATTGGACGTGGGACTAATAAGTGCCCACCCCCACACCCTGCTGTAGAAAAAAAGGAGAATTGGTTATTGTTTCTTTACTGGCTTACAATCTCCAAATTTATTGTCTGAGAGTCTATGAAAATGTTGGAATTTTACGCAACTTTTGACTGCAACGTCCATGTGAGTGCAAAGTTCTTTCAGCCGCAAAATCCCCTGCTCAAATTTTGTGGCAATAGCTGACATAGCTGTGCTCGGTGTTCAGGCTAAATGGGCTTTGAATGCTCCTGTGACAATTTAATAAGCGCCCAGCCTCGACAAATTCCAAAAATTTAATCAACGTTCAGGGCGCTTTAATCGAATAAATACGGTATTTATGCTACACCTTTTTTTTTATATAGGAATGTCTAATTTTGGAGCTGAGGCTGAAGGTTCTTATATTTTGATGACTTTGATGGTGTGGGAGTTCTTTTGGAACCGTTAAAAATAGGAACTGCTGATTATTACAAACCAAGATGTGTGTCATGCAATAAGAAAACCATTGTTAGTGTTGCACAAAACATGCCCTTAAGTATTTGAGTTAATTTTACTTTTTACATTTTTTGTTACCTTTATTTTATGCTTGTCGTTCAATATACAGATTAGCAAAATAAAACGTTCTTAAAATTTTGGTTAATCTCAGCCTCAATGTTCTTATAAAAAAGGTTCTTATATAAAATAAGAGTGTAAAAATTTCGTGTTAAAATAAAGGATCTAGGATAATACAAGATAATGTAACAATGCCCCCTAGCCGACAAACGAAAGCTAACCGCGAGCAAACTAGTACAAAAGCTACTGTAACTGCAAGTAAGCTTAAGTAAAAGCTAATCTCAAGTAAACCAGCGTGGAGGCTATAAACCGTAACTAACCAGTGTGAGCTCCCGAGTGTAAGCCAACCGATGGCTGGTAGTGGCATCCATAATTAGCGGGGTAGCCGGGTGTCTGCTAGAAGAGGTTATACTGCGATTATCAGTTGAGTAAGGAAAGGCGGAAGTCTGGCGAGGAAGCTTTAGCCTTAAAATTACGGTGTTTTCACGGGCAACTTGCCTAGTTTCTATTGGTACCAACAGCCGTGCATCGCCTGTCGCGTCGCCTACAATTTCGCGCGCATTGTTTCCTCCCCCCCTTCCCAGCCCTCGGAAGGGGACAAAATAGAACTCTTCCCGTCTTCAATTTGTCTATGTGTTATGGGTTAGTACCTTATGTAAGAATACGTATAATGTCCCGACAATATGGCTGTAGCTCTAGTATACCCCTGTAAACCCTTGTATACCCTTGTTATATAAGGGGATACAAGGGGATACAGGGGTTTACAGGGGTATACAAGGGTTTGCAGGGGTATACAGGGTTTACAGGGGTATACAGGGATTTACAGGGGTATACAAGGGTTGACAGGGGTATACAAGGGTAAAAAAAGGTTTACAGGGGTATACAAGGGTTTACAGGGGTATACAAGGGTAAAGAAAGGTTTACAGGGTTATACAAGGGTTTACGGGAATATACTGGGGTTTACAAGGGTATATAGGGGTTTACAGGGGTGTGGAAGGGTTTACAGGGGTGTGGAAGGGTTTACAGGGGTGTGGAAGGGTTTACAGGGGTATACAAGGGTAAACAAAGGTTTACAGGGGTATAGAAGAGTTTACAGGGGTATACTAGAGCTACAGCCACATTCTCGGGACATTATATATAGTCTTACATAAAGTAGTGACCGTGTTATGCAAGGTCATCGTTCGGTGGTTTTTTTTGCTGAGCTGGGTATTTAGCAGCTCGTTCGTTATCCTGGCAAAACACTGTCAATTTTAACTCTCTGGGCTACTTTTGCTGACGCCGTGAAATTCTAAGCCGCGTGGTGTTTGGCGGAGAATTCATACAGGACTCTTACTTTTGCATGTAAGTTAATTAATTTTGTGTTCTTCCAATTAAGCTTAAGTACTTACAATACTGTCAAAAGTAGTTGAAAGTTTTGCAGCGGAGTTGTTTAGCCCTCACTAGTTGCCGTGCATGGTTAAAATTGAATATTTTAATCAATGTAATATGAAGCTGAAGTTTGAAATTGCAAATAACACGGAAACATTTGCTATGCAATGATGTGTATGTCATGCACGCAAGAAACCTGTTTCTGTTTACATACAGTTCTCGGCGTTTTCTGAGTTATTCATGGAATCCTTTTATGGCCCTTTTTTGCACTTATTATAAGCTTATGTAAGGTTAAGCATATATTTCGTATTGGTACCTTTTCACCGATTTCTTTACTAAAGATTCCAGTTTAATAATCGGCTGACACTAAACAATTATTGGATGAGGTTTTTGTGATATCCAGAATAATCAAGGTCGAGGTAGGGGTTATCACCCGAAGCCGAAGGCTGATGTTGATAACCCTTACCGAAACCTTGATTATTCTGGATATCATAAAAACTGAATGTAGTAATTGTTTTATACATTGAACAAAAAAAATGGAAGTCATGCATTTGTTTCCTCACACACGGCAAGCAACACAAAGCGTGCAAACTTGACATGATTACCCTTAGAAATCATGCACTGCAGTCATACATGACATGATTACCCATGACCTTGAGTGTCCTTGACGTGATTATTGTATAATCTGCAGCTAGATGACGTCATGGGCGCTGATTTTGAAAATTCACTATACAGTGTTGATTCAGCCAATCAGAAAAGAGATAGTGATCAAGTTCAATGTTTAATAATGTGTATAACCGGCATGCCCATATTGATGAAAACCAATAATCAAATCAATATAATCGCTAACAATTAATCAATTGATATAGACATTGATGAACATCAATGATCAAGAGAGTTA